AATTATTTAACTATTCTAGAAAAATCAAATAGATATTCCTATATTTTCTATGTCTAAAATCTTTTCATATCTTTTTCTTAACAATATAAATATATTTTACTTCTTATATATTAAAACAGAAGTCATGATTTCCTTCATGTGTGATATTTCATTTTAGATCATCTCTTAAAAATTTACTTAAATGAATTATTTCATATCTATTATATTAAAAGAGAAGTCATGACTCACTTCATGTGTGATATTTTAGTTTGGACCATCTTTAGAGTTTTATAAAATTTTACATAACATTATAATATCATTTTATATCTTTAATTTTTGTTTGAAATACAAATAAATAGTTAAGAAAATTCAAACAAAATCTTTTAAAATCCTTTAGAATCTTTTTCAAGATAGAATTTTAAAAATTATTTGATTAAAATTTTAACTATCATAAAATATAATTATCATAAAATATAATTAAAATTTTAATTCATTTTTAATTTCTAAACAAAAAATTAAAATTATGTAAAATACTTTTAACAATATCCCAAAATTTTGTTTATGTATTATGTAGGTCCAATTTAATTAATTTTTACATAGATTTCAAATTCAGAAATAAAACAAAATATATATTAGTAATCTTACATAATAATGTTTTTAAAAATTATTACAAAAATACAAATTTCTAAATTTTATATTAATAATATTATAAGTCACATAAAAATGATTATAAAATTGGATAGCATAAAAAATCAAATTATACTTATTTATTGATAAATTTTATTATATAATTTCAAATATTTTCGTATTAAAATACCCGCACGGTTGTGCGGGTCGCAATCTAGTCTTATATATTAAAACATAAGTAATGACTTCCTTCATGTGTGATATTTCATTTTAGATCATCTCTTAAAAATTTACTTAATGAATTATTTCATACAAATTTGAGTTATTTAACTATTCTAGAAAAATCAAATAGATATTCCTATATTTTCTATGTATAAAATCTTTTCATATCTTTTTCTTAACAATATAAATATATTTTACTTCTTATATATTAAAACAGAAGTAATGACTTCCTTCATGTGTGATATTTCATTTTAGATCATCTCTTAAAAATTTACTTAAATGAATTATTTCATATCTTATATATTAAAACAAAAGTAATGACTTCCTTCATCTGTGATATTTCATTTTAGATCATCTCTTAAAAATTTACTTAAATGAATTATCCATTTAAATTTGAATTATTTAACTATTCTAGAAAAATCAAATAGATATTCCTTTTCTATGTATAAAATCTTTTCATATCTTTTTCTTAAGAATATAAATATATTTCACTTCTTATATATTAAAACAGAAGTAATGACTTCCTTCATGTGTGATATTTCATTTTAGATCATCTCTTAAAAATTTACTTAAATGAATTATTTCATATCATATATATTAAAACAAAAGTAATGACTTCCTTCATCTGTGATATTTCATTTTAGATCATCTCTTAAAATTTTACTTAAATGAATTATTTCATACACATTTGAATTATTTAACTATTCTAGAAAAATCAAATAGATATTCCTATATTTTCTATGTATAAAATCTTTTCATATCTTTTTCTTAACAATATAAATATATTTTACTTTTCAATAAAGCAGACATTTAAAATATTTAATTACTTTCATATTTGTTTAAAATATCAATGTACATTTTATTTTTCACTTAAACAAACCTTTTAAATATTTTATTAATTTCATAATTATTTAAAATAACAATTTATATTTCATTTAATACTTAAATAAACCTTTTAAGTATCTATTTAATTTTTTAATTATATTAATTTGATGTATAATTTGTATTAAATTTCTGATATTAATTTAACATGATATTTTCAATTAAATCCCTCATTTAGCTTTGTTCATTTAGAACTTTGTACCCAACTCTTGAAAATATGCTATCAATATGAATGATCAGTGTACAAATACTATTTTTCAAGTGTTCATGTTTTAGTAATAGAGATGTTACTAATAATTTGAAACATGCAAACTATAAAAAAATTGTTTTTAAAATATTACGTTAAATTATTAGTAAAATGGTAAATGTTAAATTATATAATATTAATCATGTACATCAAATCAAATATTTATATATAAAAAAAAAGAAATTAATCACCCGCACGGTTGTGCGGATCAATATCTAGTTTTTCTTATAGTTAAAGTTTTATGTTTTATAGTTTATATATGTCATTATATAATTAACTGTATATTTTTAAGTTTTATACACAAGAAGAGTTTTCAAATCAATTTCCATCCATTAATCCTATAAAGAAAAGAGTATGGTAAGTCAAAACTGGAAATAAGCTTAACCATTTTCTATGGCAAACTCTCTCTGGATCGATTGCGGTCAATGAACGTCTCTTCAAGAGACACATTGGGAACGATCCCAGTTGCCCATGATGTGGTTACAAGGAGGAAACAATCAACCACATGATTTTCACGTGTCCTCCAGCGAGGCAATGCTGAGCTCTTTCAACAATCCCATCGAACCTAGAGGTTTTCCCCTCACAAAACCTGTACACAAATATGGACTATCTACTCTTTAGGGCCAATAGTGGTGACACAAAGGAATTAACCAAAGTTTTTCCTTGGCTTATATGGTACATCTGGAAAGCTCGGAATAAAAAAAATTGTTCAATGGTCGAGTCTTTTCACCAACGGATACATTAGACCTGGCATTAAGAGAATCCAATGCCTGGTTCTTGGCCAATGAAGAGAGTGAGACGTATGATAATAATACAGAGAGGGCATCAGGAAACTCCATAGAGCAACCAACCTTTATCTGTCATGTGGATGGATCATGGAAGAATGATGAAACTACAAATGGTCTTTGATGGATTTTACAGCTACAAGATGGGTTAGTTGATATCCTTGGACTTCAAGGTTGTCATAAGCTAATGTCACCTCTTCATGCTGAACTGAAAAGCTTAGTATGAGCATCGAAATTCTTGCTCCGACATCAATGGTTCTGCGATTACTTTGTCACTGATTCTCAGTAGTTAGTTAAAATGATCACTAAACCGGAAGAATGGCCAGCCTTTGCAGCTGAACTTGAGGAGATTGAAACCCTATGGGCTTCCTACCAAAATGGAAAAGTGGTCTATCAAACAGATGCAGCAACTCCCATGCGGATTTCCATGTAAAACATGCTCGAACAAGAAATCGTGTTTTCTCATATGTCAACATGGTGGTACCACATTGGATCGATACCAGAAACTCGTCCTTCGCGGATTCGTACTAAGATTTATCTTTGTACCTTATTGTGATAAAAAAATACATAAGAACTCAACCCGGATCAAATCGGATAAAATGGTTACTTTTAGTTATTTGGTTATTTTTAGTTTGGATTTAAAATATCCGAATCGAATCGGTTATTATGATTATTTTTGGTACAAATATTCGAACATGTCTCGAATACATTAGTTTTTGTGGGAGTCGATTTCACCCTACTGTCAAATAAATCGTAAAAAAGGAAACTTCGGGAAAACCCTAAGTTTCCAGAGGAACCGGCTATCTGCGAGAACCGCACAACGAAAATAAGATGACGAAAATACTTAGAATTTAAATGAGAATAAACGAAAACAGAGAGCAAAGAGGTTCTTATTCCGAATCTGCGTAGAACT